CCGCATTGTGTTACCGGAAAGTCTTCGGGAATTTCTGAAGAATTGCGTTCAGTCAAAACACAGCATTCTGATTAGTTAATAACCAACTTGACACATTAGGTCAAAGGACGCTGCTGTAGGTCAAATCTGCAAATGCATCATGGTGGAAATAATATGACAATTTTGACTTTGACTGTGTTCCAACAGACTCAAATGTTTTTAATTCAGTAAATTATGGTGGTACGTAATTAATATTGTAATAAAATGTGCATATTTTTTGTGATCATTTCTGTTTCTTCATTGGAAAATCAATGACGACGCAACTAATTTAGTAATTTGATTTACCCTCAAAGACGTAATTTGTCACTTGATGAATCAAAATTTTCATTTGCACTCTTTTTCGAGGGGGGTGCTCGGGTAAGCGCCCACCCCTAAAAAATTGTGAGTTGAGGCCCCTGGGCGCTAACGCGGTCAAATACAGTAAACATGCTAGGATGATCTCAAGTTTATTTTCAATGCTGCCAATATATGGTGTATATTCCGAGGTAGATAATGAAAATATCGGTATTGTAATTTACCATTGTAACTTTTATAACTGTGCGTCCAAAGTTTATTGAAAGAACTGCCCTTCCTAAAGGCCAGGGAAATACTGTAATGAGGTAAATAAATTGTAATTATTATTGTAACAAATTGATGATTAGTTATGCCAATTAGATTACTACATAATGCATATTTATGATTTGTTTATAGAATTGTCAACAGCTAGACCGACTTGATGGCGCTAATGCACCAGATCTCAACAAGAAAGTACAGCATCATGCCAGCAGCATTGCAAGTCCAGCACCGCCAGCACCCGTAGATACAAAAGAGGTGAATAAAAAAAACAATATCTTATTGTCAACAAAATGTTCAGGAAGTGATAAGCGCTTTTGTATCCTTGTTTGCCAATTCCACCTAGCACAGTAAGCTATTTTCCGTTTCGTACGAGATCTCGCAAGACTGTTAAATTTTCCTAGAAGCCGATTGCTAGTCATGTGATACAGGTCAAGCATTGATTCATAATGGGGCTAAATCGTGAGTGTGTCTAGTGCTGTGTGTCAAATTTCCAAGTAATTCCTTGCATCTGTTTCTCAATTTCTACCATGGCTGACTTCGATAAAATGATGATGCCTCATCACAAAAACTTTTTCTGTAAATTTGTCGTTTCATCATCCAACTATAAAAAGAATATTCTTCTTGCAATCGCTAAAGCTGTGCACTGTTTTGAACTTGAGAAAGACCGTGATTTGTTACGCCACGATCCTAAAAACAACGTCGCTACAAGACTCGCTTTAATTAACTTGTTACTCCTCTGATTTAAATAATGTTTTAGTTTACACCCAAATAAGGGAAATGTTGAACAACTGCAAATACAGCTCTTTACAGAACCATTGCTAGATATTTTGTAATGAGTTGATAGCAAAGCAGTTTTTAATAAACATATACTTGTAATTACAGGATCTAGATGCCAGACTTAAGAAGTTAACAAATCATGCGCCGTGTATGTTATTTATGAAAGGAACGCCAGACGAGCCACGGTGTGGTTTCAGTAAACAAGTCATAGCTATACTTAAAGAAGAAAAAGCACAGTTCAGTTCATTCAATATATTAACAGATGAGGAAGTGAGGCAAGGTAAACAAAACACAGAAAACAACACAGCCACCAACAGAAAACAACACAGCCACCAACAGAAAACAACACAGCCACCGCCAGAAAACAACACATCCACCGCCAGAAAACAACACAGCCACCAACAGAAAACAACACAGCCACCAACAGAAAACAACACAGCTACCAACAGAAAACAACACATCCACCACCAGAAAACAACACATCCACCAACAGAAAACAACACATCCACCAACAGAAAACAACACAGCCACCAACAGAAAACAACACAGCCACCAACAGAAAACAACACAGCCACCGCCAGAAAACAACACATCCACCGCCAGAAAACTACACAGCCACCAACAGAAAACAACACAGCCACCAACAGAAAACAACACAGCCAACCAACAGAAAACAACACAGCCACCAACAGAAAACAAAACAGCCACCAACAGAAAACAACACATCCACCAACAGAAAACAACACAGCCACCAACAGAAAACAACACATCCACCAACAGAAAACAACACAGCCACCAACAGAAAACAATACAGCCACCAACAT